GGTTTATTGGATTCAACACAATTTTTAAGGAAGTCTACATCTCCTCTCAATCTCTTCATCCATTTTCGAGGATGTCATGATTGGAATTTTTTGAGTTTTCAACTGCTCTTTAGAAACAAATTCTAAAATCAAGTGTGGTTTGGAGTCATGAATTTACTTGAATGAATTTGTATGGAGGAGAGAGAAATTAATGTAGTGTTGTTTGGGAAAGGAAGTCCCATAGTCACAATGTAAAGTCAAGAAAACGAGTCAAGTGGAGGGATATTGTGTGGTGCGGTGTATGGTATGAGTTTGAGTTGAGCCGTTGACTTATGGGATTGTTTGATGGACGGGGTGGAGATGAGGGAGTTGTGTAAAGGGGTGTATCACGGAGAGATGGTCTGGCGAGTTGGTAGTGTCGGTGGCGACATGCATGGGGCGCTGTAATCTATTGTGCTTTCGATTTAAGTTTTATTTTTGTTTTTTTGAATAATCCAAACAAATAATTTTTGTTATCGTGATTATGAAGTAATTTTTCAAATTTAATTTCTAGATCACTTTGGCCGTTTTGTTGACCGTGATTAAAGGGGATCAAAGTTCACACAAACCATAAGCATTATTTATACTACCTCCGTGTTAGTATTAAAAAAAACTATTGTTAATTGTAAGTGTGAGTGTATTAGGTATCTTATCACGTGCAAAGATTTCGCGCTATCTATGTAAATTAAATTAATATCTCACCCACCTAAGGATGGCAATTCAATCTGGGTTTGATTCGAATCCGATCCGATTCAAAGAAGAATATCCGATTTGAATCCGTTTAAAAATAGTCCGAATCCGAATAGGAGGCGGAGTGGACTTGGACCTTGGCAAAGTCCGACCGAGTCTTATCCTATTCAAGTCCGAGTATGAGGATATGCTTTATAACTTGCATTGGGACAATTGCTTGCTTGTTTTTAGCAAATTTTTGTTATGTAACTTAATTAATAATTTAAATATGTTATATTTAGACTTTATACCCTATGTTTTTTCTAATTTTTTACGCACCAATATGATATAAAAGATAAAGTTTATTAGGGACGATACATGCAATTATAGGTATATCATACATTACCAAAAAAATAAAAATATTCGGATCATTTGGACGTCCGAATAAACGGACCAGATTCGGATCCAAAAATTACGACTCGGATCGGACTCGGACTCGAATTTTTCGAATTCGGATTCGAGAGGTAATAAACTCTTCTTTGTTTTCCTTTGCCGCCATGTGGAAGATGTTGCCATGATGGCCTCTTCCAGATTGGTCATCCTCCTCAGGATAGAAAGTCAAGTAGTATTCGATGGGTTTATTTGATTCAACACATTTTTTAAGGTACTCTACATCTCCATTCAATGCAGCCTTTCTTAGCTCTTCATCCATTTTCTCAGATGTCATCTTTGGAAATTTCGTGAAATTTGAGTTTAATGGAATTTTGATTATGAGGGAATTGTTTATGAGTTTGGTTGCATTTCATTTCTCATGTTAGCATGGTTGTGTAATATAGCAGCAAGCTAGCTCAATATTCATCATGATCTTATCAACATGTATAATAATCATGATTAATTAAATTAAATACGTACTATAATATTATAAATAATGAGATATCCAGGCTTAAATTTCATGTATTAATCAAATCACAAGTTGAATACGAGCAGACCGATACAGGCATACAACTTGTATAAATAATCAACTGAATTAAAGAAAACTTGTAATAAATCAAAGAGTATTATATGACTAAAGTCTATTTAAGTAACATAAACAAATTTAAATACCACGCCCTCCCAGAAGAAGTTTCCAGGAAATTTTTATATATATTGCCAAAATTTAGGTTATATATAGCTTCAAATAAATATATAATGCGTGAAACTTGTTATAGTCGTTGCTAGTTTACAATAAAAGTTAATTTCCAATCATAAAAACTGCCACGTGAATGGTGATTTAGGCAAATTTTTTATCCTAAATCTGATTGGATACCAAATTAAACATCACTCAAGTAAGTTAAATTACGTTTTATCTAGCGTGATTTAAAACAAAAGGTTTTATCTAGCGTGTTAAGTAATTATGATTTTAACCGTACCACATTATCGAACATCAAATAGGTGATTTATTAGGCCAATTGACCATGTTGGTATAAAAGATAACACCATTGTGACAGATTGGTATATAAGTTATTGCCGGCAACATATTGGTATAAAAGTTAACATATGGCGACATTATATTGGTATAAAAGTTAACATATGTCGACATATTGGTACATAAGTTAACAAATTGACATTTACCCCTATTTTCTTGTCGGATGAAAGAGCATGTTGTATACTATGTTTTCAACAATAATTGTTTTAATTACTTTTGCAATCTTATTTTTTACCAGAATATACTTATTCAACACAAAATAATAATTTTTCCCTCTTCCCTCCCACCTAAGATTATCAATAATTATTTCTTCTTTTTTCTTTCTCATACAAAAAAAAAAAAAAAAATTATGTTAAGAACAGTTATATCATTTTAAATTAAATTACACCATTGAATAAGCATTAGTAAAAAGAATTAAATTAAATACAATAACTTTGATAAATCAATAAAACGATAAAACCCAAAAGAACTAAACAATAAAAACCCCAAACAACTAAAAAGATAAAACAAAATCTCAATATTTTTAGGTTATTAAATTTAAAATCAATTGCTTAGTTGACCCTAACTTTCATTATTACATTATTTGTTTAATTATACCCACAACTAATGTGTAAATCAACAGTATGACAAGCGAAAAAAAATATGAGTGTTTCACAAAAAAAAAAAAAAAAAAAATAAAAAAAATAAAAGAAGAATCTACCTTTGTGATGCTTCAATGACCAACTCCCTCAATAGATTCAAGCTTATATCCATTTGCTCAAGCTTTTCTATTCGTTTTCCCCTAGCTTCTTTCTCACTTTTGGCTCTTTTTTTTTTTTTTTTTTTTTTTGGATTTTTACTTCATAAGTTTTTTTAAATTAATATAAAAAGTAGAGAAAAGAAGAAAAAAAATGTTAGATAAAAGTTTTAGTACTATAAATAAGCGCATGTACCGTACGCATATCCTCCGACGAGAAAATAGGAGTAAATGTCGCAACTTGTTAACTTATTACTTATATACCAATATCTCGCTACATGTTAACTTTACTTTTATACCAATATGTCACCGACAATAACTTTTATACGAATCTGTCATAAGGGTGTTAACTTTTATATCAATATGGTAATTGGCCTAATTTATTAGGTGGCACTAATTCGCATATAAGAGGTTGGGATTATTTTATTCAATATGATTGGACAGATTTTCGATCATCTAGCTTGATATGTATTTGAATATTTGATTACAAAGTGTAACATGGGGAGTGAGAAATTGCTCAATTGGTTAAGGTTTCCTTTCGGCCAATTTTAAAGGATTTTGGAATCAACTCTCACTACTTGTCCTTGTAACTCTCTAAACACCCAAGAAAAACATAGTATGATCAGGCTAAGTACAATTAGCTTACAAAAAATAGTTGTAAAAGATGCTAGCCGCTTTGCATCCCCATCTACTTCGTAATTTATATTATACATATGTTACGATAGCATTGTGCTAGTTGTGCTCCTCGGGTTTATAATATAAAATAGGGTACGCAATAGTTGTAACTTAAAATCACGATTACATTACATTTCATACTTGTGTTTATAATTAGTCATTGATTTCGATAAGCGACAAAAACCCCCTTTTTTTTTTAATCCTTGAAATGATAGAAAAGTCAACTATAGGAATGATCGTGATCTAATCTAGAGATGTCATGCCAGTCAGAAGCCAAGCTTTCAGCTTGTAATTATTACTTATATTATCTAAAAAGTATATTTAAACGACTAATAAGCTTTTAAGGTATTAGTCAATTACAAAAACTTCTTCCACGCACATGATTGATCACCACTCCCATTCTTTTAACCACTCTCTGATTGTTTTCCTCAACAACATTGATTAATTATTGAGTCATCATGATCAAAGGACTAGTTAGCCAACTTTATAATATATGGTTTATGTCTTAAATATCCGAGATAAATTCATATGCAGATATGCTGATACCTTATTATGAAAATGAGAGATAGTGGCTTTATTTGAACAATTTATCTTGTAAAATTAATTGAATAATGATTTTACTGTTGTCATTTGAAAAATGACAACTATAATTTTTCAAAATGAACAGTCAAGATATAATGTTTTTTGATTTATATTTTAATATTAATAAAAAAATCAAATTAATTATTTTTTTAAAAAATTAATTTAATTTGATTTTTACTTTTATTATTAATAATTAAAATTGAGTTTTATAAATTAATTTTAAAATTTGAAAAAAGAATAATTAATTTTCAGAAATTTAAAATGAATTCCTATAATAAGAACTTTTTTACGGAGTAATTAATTTTAGCATTTAAAAGTAATTCAATAATCATTAAATTACAACCATCCAAATTTTAAAATTATGGTAGTAGTCTGTAGAATTTTCATGAGACGCTAACTTATTGTGAAACATAAGAAAGCATTAAGCCATAACTAAGAAAGTATGATTTATTTGAGACTATATATGTTAGTTATATTCCTATTTCTATTCATATAAGGAATTTTGCTTAAAGAATACTTTCGAAATACAATAATTATTATGTTTGTTAGTTGATAAATATCATACTTGTTCTATCAATCATATACTCCCTCCGTGTTTAAATAAATGAAACCTTTTTATTTTTCGACCGTATTTAAATAAATAAAATGTTTTTTTTAGTAACTTCTCTAGTTTTTAATAATATTCTCTGTACTTTTTAATAATATTCTACCAACTAATGGTCCCCACAAAACTCTTTACTCTCTTTCTCTCTCCTCAAACTTACCCCACTACTATACCTATTATTTTAATAAATTCAATTAACCTTCCTAAAACTCCGTAAAATTCAAAACGTTTCATTTATTTAAAACGGAGTGAGTATAGTTTAAAGTTGTTATGAATTAAAGAGGAAAAACTTATTTAGGTATTGTGTTTGGTCTATCTGGATATAAGACAATAATATACTTTGTAAATTATGAATATGAGAAATAAAAGTACAGAAGATAACAAGCAAATGTACATGTTTTTTTCAACATGACGAAGTTTTTTTATTTTTTTATTTTTTATTTTTTATTTTTTTTTATTTTTTCGGAGGGCACATGATGAAGTATTTAATTCCTAGCGAGGGATGGAATTATCTTAATAACTTTCATAGACGATAAAGTACAAGTACAATAAAGGAAATACAAGACTCTCCTCCTCATAAATACCTCTCAAGTGGAGTTACATCTTTGCTTGGCGGCTTCTTATATGCTCACTATGATTAAAAGGTCATATCAACATGCTTAAACAAATTTATTAGAAAGTTTTAATCCCAGTCAGCACTTAAAATGTCTCATTTAATGCACTCAACTTATTAAAGACATATTAATGCAGACCATATATGACTTAACTCTTGTCTTGAACAATACGTTTCCAAAACGGATTCATATAAATATTTTCCATCAATAACTCAAGTAATAAGAATAAGAAGACATAAAAATATACTGTAATACGAAGTACAATATGTAAGTACGTACACTAGATTTTAGTACAACCATGGTAATAAATAACATCAAAGATTTCATGTTAATTTGCAACCTTCGAAGTCTAGCATGAGTTGTTTATTTTTTCTCCTTCAAGTCCTCGTTAGGCAGGCTATTAACAGATTTGCAATCTTGATTTGAGCTCTTCCCTGGACTAAGCAGTCGATCCTGCTCATTGTCATGGTTGCTCTACATTCACAACATACATTTAATAATTATTTATCCTTTTTCGGACTATTTTATTTGAATTAAATTTTTTATTATTTGTTATATATTTAAGGTTAATTATCCAAACTTAAGATGTAAGAGTTGGAATTTAAACAGATATTTATTGATTGTAAACGTAATAACCTTTATAAAAACAGTGATCAAATTTCATTATGATTTATGAATACTCAAAAAAAAAAAATATGATCGTGATTCTAAAGCAACATTTAACAAGAATTAGATGGGTTAGTAATGTAGTATTAAATATTTTGGCTAGATCAATTTTAAATGTACATCCCATCAAACGTGTTATCTTACCAATTAAAATTAAAATTAAAAAATTTTAGTTTATGATCGACATGCACGCATAAGCTAAGAGCTTACCAGTTTGGAGACTTCATCATTCGAGCCCTCATCAGCGGAGACCTCATCATCCGAACTCTCATCATTCGAGCCTTCATCGTCGCTTGACTGGCTTGAAGTTTTTCTGCTTGATCGGCTTGAGCTTTTATTGCTTTGGTTTGAATTATGCTTACTATGATGACTCAACAACGAATCCATCTCATCCTGAGTCTTGTACCCCTGAAATAAAACTAACATAAGATCCCAAACCTCTGATAGATTTGATTCAAATTGAAGCAAATAAAAAGAGACATTTGAACTTACTAGTTCGACCAAGTGCAATGGATCTTTACACTCCCTTTTCGCAGCAGGGAACTTGTTCATGATATCATACAAGAAATTCTTGTCAATTGAAATAATTATGAGTAAACTTATGACGACAATAATAACAATGGCAACCCACAATGACTTTGGGGCCATAACAATATATACTCCGGTCATAAATGCCAGTAAGGTGCAGTTGAGTGATATCCTGAGTAGCACCATGCTTCGATCAACCAATAGTAATGACTTACTAGTTTCGAAGACCATGGACCATGTAAGGCAAATCAGCACGAGCATTGAGAAAAATAAAGCCAATGTATCGGATACCAAAAATACTAAAAAAGACGCCTTCTTTCCCAGAAGTGCTTCACCGGTGTCTTGATTAAAACCACCCGGGAGTGTAAATCCAGCAGTAAATGTAATAGTTGCTAGCAGAGCTGCCACTACAAATAGTGATGTTCTCACGTCTAACAAATTTGTCTTATGTTGTAAGTAAGTTGTTTTTATCTGTGGATCAAGTCCGTTTCTTTTGCACATGAGGCCCTGTAAGGATTTCAAAAATTGAAAGTCATTCTTATCACTAAAGTCAAACCAACAAATGGATAAGAGGTTTTCCAAATCAATTACCATCATTAGGTCAGGTTCATGTAAAAAGTCTTATGCATAGAATTATCGCTTATTGCAATTTGAAAGCTCATATGTGCTAAAACATAAATTTGTGGGTTACTACATGTTACTGTGAGTTCATTACTCCGTTTTTTTTTTTTTATTTATTTTTTATTTTTTTTTACTGTGTCACTTTGACTTGGCACTATTCACATACAGTGTTTGACTTAATTTTTATACTGATATAAAATAAATACATATTATTATATAATATATTATTTTATTTTTGAAGTATAATATATCATTAGATTAGTTATAATGTCTACTTCACGATATAATTTTCTTTTAATTTTTGCTAAAGACGATTAAAGATATAAATGGTCAATGTTACATCTCGGCAAATGTGCTAGTCAAATGATGCATATATAAAAATACAGAGGAAGTAAAAAAAAAATGTTACATTGAGTAACATGAAACATATTATTAACTATCCTTATAATATTGTCAAACAATTATATTCCTTTTTTATTCAAAAAAAAAAAAAAAAAAAAAAACCTAGTATATTCCTTCTCTTTGACAAAAATTGTAGGTCCAGATTAAGACTATCTCTAATTTACCTTATTTTTGTTCATCTAATTTAGTCTGAACTTATTTTTGTTTATCAGATCTAATTTGATTGTCTGATTTAAAGTAATGGAAAAGACTACATACCCATTCTTTAGCATTATTCTTGCACGCATGTGCAAGCAGATCCATGGCAGTTACATTTTTGCTGTCGTTGATATTGTATAGGATCTTTTTCTTGTTGAGTAACGTTTCTGCTAGGAATATGTCTTTTTTCCGTATTGCTTTGTGTAAAGGCGTTTCTCCCGCAGAATTTTGGAGATTGATAAGATCTTTCATGTGTCGAATCCTGAGAAACTCTTCATATTCCGTTAAACTTGATAGTTTCAAATGATGCAAAGGAGAATCTTCATGTATAATACAAAGATCTCGAAACGCTCCTGGATTATGGCTAATGAAGGCATGAAGAGCTGAAACATGACCTTTCTCACATGCTTTAATCCAAGCCAATGGTGCTGTATTGAACACAGATTTATCCTTTTTCAGTACAGCTTTAATAAACCATGCTGGACCAATATCATATGCTGTATCCCAAGGTGATTGTTTTTCATCATCTTGTTCGGTGATGAATTCTGGTGCTTCATTAACTAGGAATGTCCCGAACTTCACATCTGCATTCATAAATTTACGAAAATGGAGTAATCATTTATCAATAAAAATAATTCAAATAATAAAACTACGTATTACATCCTCTGTTATGCGATTATTACACCATATGGGCCCGAGATTTACATATCCCAATGCGAAACCTTAATTAACTTAAGTTAAATAAGAATACAATTTATGAAAATTGATAATATGTTTAAAGAGACGAATTTAAAAAATCTTAAATAACTAGTTTTCTTTATTTATAAATCATAATACGTACTAATTAACCACAAGGCAATACAAATTATTACAAATGGGCGCAGGGGGATTTGAATTAGTAACCTATTGTGTACAGATTCTTCAATCTTAACCACTTGATAAAATACCATATTCATATAAATAACAATATGTGGTAGAAGTGGATCGATCGTGTAAATTGTGTCACATTTGCAAAAGATGCAACGTTTCTAGAAAGAAGTATGAAGCTTACAAATTAACACAGTAAGTACGTTATTTATAATCGCATTTAATGACTCCTACTACTACTATTGCTACTACTCCTACTGCTACTACCGCTACTCCTACTGCTACTCCTACTACTACCACTACTACTGCTGCTGCTACTACTCCTACTCCTGCTACTGCTACTACTACTACTACTACTACTACTACTACTACTACTACTGCTACTGCTACTGCTACTGCTACTGCTACTGCTACTGCTACTGCTACTGCTACTGCTACTGCTACTGCTCCTGCTCCTGCTCCTGCTCCTGCTCCTGCTCCTGCTCCTGCTCCTGCTCCTGCTCCTGCTCCTGCTACTGCTACTGCTACTGCTACTGCTACTGCTACTGCTACTGCTACTGCTACTGCTACTACTACTACTACTACTACTACTCCTGCTCCTGCTCCTGCTCCTGCTACTCTTACTCCTGCTACTGCTACTACAACTGCTACTTCTACTGCTACCGCTCCTGCTACTACTACCGCTCCTGCTACTGCTAACGCTACTACTACTGCTCCTACTACTACTGCTATTGCTACTGCAACTACGGCTACTGCTACTGCACCTGCTGCTCCTACTACTACTGCACCTGCTGCTACTGCTCTACTACAGTTACTACTCCTACTACTGCTACTGCTCCTACTGCTATAGCTCCTACTACTGCTACTGATACTGCTCCTATTACTACTACTGCTCCTATTACTGCTACTGTTACTGCCACTTCTACCGCTATTGCTACAACTACCTGTTATTGCTACTACTACTGCTACTGCTAGTACTACCTGCTACTGTTGCTACTACTGTTACTGCTACTTCTACCGCTACTGCTACAACTACCTGTTATTGCTACAACTACTGCTACTGCTAGTACTACCTGCTATTGCTACTACTGCTGCTGCTGCTACTGTAACTGCTACTGCTACTACTACTGCTGCTGTAACTGCTATTACTGCTACTGCTGGTACAACTGTAGCTACTGCAATACTACTGCTACTACTTCTACTATTGCTGCTACTGCTACTACTGCTGCTACTGCTACTGCTACTACTGCTGCTGCTGCTACTATTACCGCTACCGCTGTTGCTGCTACTACTACTACTATTGTTGCTACTGTTGCTACTAGTGCTGCTACTACTACTGCTGTTGCTACTACTACTACTACTACTACAGTACTACTCTTACTACTACTATTATTACATTATTTAGGATTTTACAAAATTAGCCTCTCTTCTTTTCATGTGACATATCCCCCTCCAATTTCTAGCAATATATTAGTAAGTGCTTATACATATTCCTTATCAAAATAAAAATAGTACTTCATAAAGTTGTTGATATTCACATAATACAATAACTAACGTCTTTATCTTATACATTTGTGACTTGATAAGGGTCAAGTATATAATAATACTATGAGGGAACGAAGAACAATATTATGCATATATCAAATATAAAATTATTGAAATGAATACCTTTGGAGTGGATAATTTCTTACCTGTTAAACTTGTTGCAAGATGCAATATATTCTTTCCATCGGAGGGATCCTTCAGATATTTGGTCCAATTTTCCTTATCCAATCTTGACATTATAGTTTCCGCTACTTGAGGGCAATTATTTTGTATAGCAAGAAACAAAATACTGTGCTCCGGCTCATAATAATCTAGTAGTTCACTAATATCATCATCCTCAAGTAATGACAGTAAATATAATGCAAGTTCTTCACGTTGGTTGCGTATTGCCAAATGTAGAGGTCCTTCATTTTCTTTATTCTTTTCAAACCATGGAAAGTCACCAATCTCATACAATTCCAAATTAAGACAATGTTCTTTGTAAGCTTCTACAAGGAGACGTACAATTTGGATTGTTGCTTCATGCGTGGTAGTTGCGGCAATATGAAAAGGATTGTTTTGGTCATTGTAATCCATAACATCAATAAGTTCGACGAATGATACTTTCCACTTGCTCTCCAGCATGAATTTAAATAAGTATTCTTTATCACTTTTTATCCAACTGTGAATTATGGTGGATCCTTCTTTGTCAACTCTCTTAATCAATTCAGGATATCCTTTGACCAATTGTGCACAAAAGTTTTCTGCTTTCAAAGAAAAACTGTTATTGTATATATTTCCCACATAGAACTGACATGGTCTGTTTGATCTGGTTCGATTCATTTTTTGATCTACATCAATTTTGAATAACTTTACCATATATGCACTACTCTTTCATTATGTAAAACTAGCCACTACTAGAATAAGCTCATTTACCGATGGGAAATACCGATGGCCAATACAAATCCATCGGTGAAAAAGTAATTTAACGATGGTTTTTTAAGCCATTGGTATATTAAGAAATAACGATGATTAGGCCATCAGTATAATTTTTCCGAGAGCTTTCGTCCATTGGTAAAAAAAATTTATCTAAAAGAAAATTCAATTTTTTCACCGATGGCTACAAGCCATTGATATTTTTCTTAAAAATAATAATAAAAAATAATATTCAGTTTTTAATTTCTCTATCTTCCTCTCCCACCTCTCTTTTTCTCTCTCTCCTTCTCTCTCGTCTCCACTCACAGTCTCACACCTGTCCTACACTCCTTCCTTCTCTCTTCTCTCTTCTCTCTCCTCTCCTCTCCTCTCTCATTTTCTCTCTTTCTTTTTCCTTACTCTCTCCTATGGTCTTGATACTCTTTTCTCTCTTTCGATTTGTTTCTCGCCCTTTTCTCCCTATCAAAACCACCACCATCACGAACTAACAACTGTTTTTGAAGTTTTGTGGTTACCACCATCACGTGCACTCTTTTTTTATTCGAAGTTTACGGATTTTTTTCCCGAACATAACCATGAAAATTATTCCAGATCTGGAATTTTCACAGTCGAGTTTGACCATTTAAACAAAAAAAAGATGAAATGTCGAAAGGTATGTTGATTTTTGTGGGTTTATTTTGGTTAATTGGTTGGATTTTTGTTGATTTATGTGTGGTTTTTTTGTGATTTTTATGGGGTTTTTTTTTCAAATTTTTTGGGTTTTTTTTTTCATTTTTTGTGGGTTTTTTGGGTTTTTTATCGAATTTGTGGGGGTTTTTTTTCGAATTAGTGGGTGTTTCGGGTGGTGGTTTACAGTGGTTGGTGGTGGTAGGTGGTTCACAGTGGTTGGAGGTGAAATGGGGGGTGTTTGGGGTGGCGGTGGGAGGTTTTGGATGGTTTAGGGTGAAGGTGGGCGATTGTTATGGTTAGGGATGTATGGGTAGGGGTAGGGGTAGGGGTAGGGAGTGGGGGTGGGGGTGGGGTAGGGGCAGTGTTTTTTCTTTTTTATTTACCGATGGCTAACTGGAAATGCCGATGGCTTTTTGCTATCGGTAAAAAAAACCAATGACTTAAGCCAACAATATTTTAAAAAAATACGATGTTTTTTTGGCCATTGGTAAAACCATCGGTATACGTTTACATGATGACTTTTCCATTGATATGTTAGTTTTATCGAAGTGTTGATCTCCGTTAGCCAAAATACCGATGACAACCATCAGTAAATGTGATGCCGGTTTTGGTATTCGGCTCAATTCTAGTAGTGAGTGTTTTTTTGACACGATGCGTGCATGTCTAATATTTTATAATGCATGTAAGTCAACAATAAGAATCCATATATTTTAATATATAGTAGTAATTATTAACAAAACAATTTGTTTTAAAGTACCCTAACCAATATATATATAATTCCGACATTTCATCACAATGAATGATTAAAAAAAAAAAGTTTTTTTTGTTAGAAACTACCTAATAAAACTTAGAATTTGTGAGAAAGTACCTAATAAAAAAATATTGTAAGAAATTAACTAATAAAAGGAAAATGTTGTAAAAGACTACCTATAGCCAGATTTCCGCCGTTGACTAATTAATTTTTTTCTGGAGTTAACCCACCACAAAAGACCACCAAAACCATCTTTTTTGGGGTTGGGGGCGGTTTAGGCTTTGTTGGGGCTATTTCAAGCAGATTATGTTGGTTTAGGAATGAAAGTGGGTGGTTTCGAGGGTGCTATGTGGTGGGTCGATGTCGGAAAATTAGGTCAACGGTAGAAATTTGGCCACAGGTAGTCTTTTACAACATTTTACTTTTTATAAGGTAATTTCTTACAATATTTTTTAAATTAGGTAGTTTCTTTGGAATTTTCTTTTCAACTGTAAGAAAGAAGAAACAATTATTGTAAATACAAAACAGTTTACTATTTTTTTTCTTACAGATTATTTTAGTCAAACAAATAAATGAAAAAAAAAATATTTATCCTTAAATTTTAATGGCCTAGATTAAAAATAGGTACTATATCTACCTTTTTATTACATAGGATTGGAAATTATGTGCACACGAAATTAAAGAAAAAACAAAGGAGATAATTCGTAATTTTATATATTACCAATCAGCAACTTTTCAGTGTGGCTGGCAACACCGTGTGAGGGGTTACTTGTATGTTACTTATTCAAGGTTACTTATTCAGGGGTTACTTACTCAGTCGCGCTAGCGCGATTTCCGTGTGAGAGTAACCCCTGAAGGATCGAGTAACCCATAAATAAATAATCCCTATAGTTTACCCCTGACCAAATAAGTAACCCTAAGATAAATAACCCAAGAATAAGTAACCCCTAACCGAACGGGTAACCCATGACCGAACGAGTAACCCTCTACAAGTAACCCCTAACCAAACGAGTAACTCCCTATAAGTAATCCCTGACCAAACGAATAGCCCCTGACTAAACAGGTTATCCCCTACAAGTAACCTCTACTATATGGTGTGGCTAGCCACATATAAAAAATTGTGATTACCAATAATTCTAAAAGTGAAAGGAATAAAATATAGATAAGTAAACTCACCTGTGCATAATGGTGCAAGATGCAAGACATTGAGCTTCTGATCATTCGTAAGAAGTTGAGTCCAACCTTTGTTATTTACTAACTTCAATATCTCCTCGGCAACTATTTGACATTCATTCTCGATAGCCAAGAACAAAACATTCTTCTCATTTTCAATAACTGCATTTTCGTTTACCGACAATATATACTTTGCAAAATCTTCTTTCTTATAAGCTATAGCCAATGATAAAGGTGTTTCTCCATCTTTGTTTTTCACTAACCAGGGAAGTTGATCATCTAAAAGGCTCGATGAATTTTTCTTGTAAACTTCTATGACAAGTTCTGCTATTTTTTTAGCATCTTCATCTTTACAAGGGGCACAGTCAGCCAAGTTATGTAGCAGGTTGTCACCATCTGCGTCCTTTGAAGGTACCAAGTCTATGAAAACCTTATTTACATGTTGGATGATATCATCACATTTTAGAAAAGTTTTAAATGGCCAAATTTTACCATTATATGCCCACACATGGAATGCCAAATCTCCATTCGTATCTCTTTGTCTAATTAGCTCTTGATCTCTTCGAAGTACTTCCCGAAAAATTTCTTCTGATCCCTCTGTAATCAGAAAAAGGTTTCAGAAGATTACGTTTATGTATACATGTCTATATTTCTATGTCTTTTTTTTTTTTTTTGTTTACATATACCGATGAAAACTCGAGAACGACTCAACAAAGTGATGCATCTAAATTAAAATTTCCATATATTAAAAGCAGTAAATCTCTGTTACTCACTGTAAACGTTTCTCACAGTGGCAGTTTCGTAAATAAAATGTACCGCCTTGACTAAAATGGTACAATTTTATCATCCATTTCGTAAATAAAATGTACCACCGTGACTAAAGTGGTACATTTTATTTACGAAACTGTCATTATGAGAAACAAAAACGTTTCTCACAGTAGTAATAGGGGCACCCTCTATTAAAAGTGATGTATCTAATAAAAAACGAAGTAATAAATCAGCCTGATTAACTGGATGTTCCTAATAAACATTACCTCCAAATATAATCTATTAACTAATACTAAAACAAAATGTTGCTAACATCATCCCTTCTTCAAATTGTACACATGTCACTCTAACATAAATTTTTTCCCGCCAATTTGCTATGATGATGTCATTAGTGTTTTTATTTTATTTTTTAACTTTTTACTTTTTTTTATATATAATAAACCTTTCATATGCTTTATCCTTTGTCCCTACCGAGTTTTTTTTAAGGTATATTAATATGCTTAAAGTAGAAATTACTTACCATGTTTAAAAAAATTACAGAGTAGAAAACTTTATTTCTCCGTATTATAAACAAATCTTACAATGTATTTTATTTAAAACCGTGTATCGCACAGGAACTAAACTAATTTGTTTATGAAAAAAAAAAAGGGGAAAGGGACAAGAAGTTCACCTGAGCCTTCGATATAATGTATTGAGTGGAACGGCGTGAAGTTATCGGGCTCGCTGCCGCAATTAACAAAATGAGGGGATCTCAAGATCTCTAAAGCTAACTTGCTCATCTTAGCATGTACGGCTTCGAAAACTAAGGAGCAACCACGAAAACTAGGCATATTAGAGATCAACTCCGGATCTGTTTTATAAATTTCATGCGCACATTCTTTGTGTTTATTATATATAGCCACAAAGCAAGGGTTATCTCCCCTGGAGTTCTCCAATAACCAGGGTCGTTCCGAAAGATGAGATGGTAATGTTGGTAAGCATCGATACACGTCTAGAAACATCTTTACTATCTCTACATTACCAACTTTGGCTGCTTCATGGAGAGGGTTCCACTTGTATTCTTCGTCCCCGGGTTGAAGGAGGAGCTGCTGCTTAACTTCTTGAGTTAAAACCCCCATCGTCATCACTTCTCTTATAAACTCTTCTTTGTTTTCGATGGCCGCCATGTGAAAGATATTGCCGTAAAGGCGTTTATTAGATTGGTCGTCTTCCCTTGGGAAGAATGTATTGTAGAAATTGAAGGGTTTATTGGATTCAATGCATTGTTTAAGGAATTCCACATCTCCTCTCACTGCTGCTTTTCTCAGCTCTTCATCCATTTTCGAAGACGTCATCTTTGGAAAATTTGAATATGATGAGGAGTATTACTTATGATCTAAACATGTAATTAAGCTTAAATTTCAGGTATTAGTCAAATGACATGTTGGCTACGTGCAGAATGATGCAGGCATACAACTTGCATAAATAATCAATTAACCGGATTAAAGAAACTTGTACTCCATTATTAATGTGCACTAATAAAATATGACTAAAGTCTTGGTTAATGTGGTCCCCGAATATACGATAAAAAACAGTAATATAATGGTATGCAGTAATTGTAACTTTAAATCTTTATATATGCTACATACTTGTGCTATTATTAGTCAAATATTTTCGGTAAGAGACAAAACCCACTTTTTTTAATCCTTGAAATGATGATATAGTCAACTACAGCAATGATCTAATCTTGAAATTTCATGCCAGTCCAGAGCCCAATAAGCTTTTAAGGTACTGTATTAGTCAATTACAATAACTTCTTCCACGCACATGATCTGTCACCACGCCCCCATTCCTCTAACCACTCTTTGATTGTACTTCCTCAACAAATCGTTCATTAATTATTGATTCATGCATTATTATATAATCAAATAACTAGATAGCCTACTTATAATATATGGTTTATGTCTTAAGTATGCGAGATAAATTCATATGCTGATACCTTTTTAAGAAAATGAGAAATAGTTGCCTAGTTTGAACAATTTATATATCCCTTTTAATAATGACAACTATAATTTTTCAAAATGAACGGTTAAAATATAATGATTTTTAAATTATAATTAAATGTTAATATTAATTAAAGACAAATTTACGTATTTGTTTAAAATTTTTATTTTAATTAATTATTCATAATTAAAACTAAATTTCATAAATTGATTTGAAAAAAAAAAATCAAAAAATAGAATAATCAATTTTCAAAATTTAAAATGAATTCCTAAAATAAGAAAAATAAATTTTAATTAAATTTAGTATTTAAAAGTAATTCAATAATCATTAAATTAGAGCCATCCAAATATAAATTTGTGGTAGTCTATAGAATTTTCATGAGCTACTTATTGTGAAACATAAGAAAGCCTTAAATCCATAACTAACAAAGTTTGATGTATTTGTGACTATGTGAGTTATATTCCTATTTCTATTTATATAAGGTTCTTGCTTAAAGAATACTATGGAAACACAATATTTATTACGTTGATAGATATCATACTTGCTCTATCAATCATAGTTCGTTTAATATTGTTATGAAGTTAAAGTGGATAAACTTATTTAGGTATTGTGTTTGGTCTGTTCGGATATAAGACAATAATATATAAAATATGAATATGAGAAATAAAAGTACAGAAGATAAACAAGAAAATGTACGTGTTTGATCAACATGACGAAGTATTTAATTTCTAGCAAAGGAAAGTATTTTCTTATTACAGAGTAATAGATTTTATAGAAGATAAAGTACAAATACAAACAAGGAAATACAACACTCTCCTCCGCATAAAAACCTCTCATTTGGAGTTAAATCTTTGCTTGGCGGCTTCTCATACGCTCACTATGATTAAAAAGTCATGTCAACATGCTTAAACACAATCTTAAATACTCCCTCCGTTCCTGAATGTTCGACACACTTTGCATTTACACGGTCTCCAATGAACATCTTTGACCATTAATAACTTTGGCTATGTATAAGTAAAATTTTTAAAAAGTTGATATTTGATTAATTTATCATAAGAGGAATCTAATAAGATCAAACTTGTTAATTTATTTTAATTGTATAAATCATAAAATGTGGTCAAAGTTATTTTATTTTGACCACATGAATAGTAAGTGAGTCGAACTTTCAGAAACAGAGTAAGTATAAACCTTTATTAGAAAGTCTTTAATCCCAGTCAGCACTTTAAATGTCTCATTTAATGCCTCAACTTATCCGATGTTTCAAAGATACGAACTACTCCGTAGAAGAAAGAGGATCACTATCCTACAATGAAAAATGACACCATGTACTCTCAAATCCAATTTCTCTCTGTAGCAATGTCATGTCTCAAAGCTACTTGTCATAGCGTCAACAAATCGATCAACAATTCGTCCGGTTTCAACTCGTCTAGGAGTGAATGTTTAGTTTTCGGTTTAAATTTTGGAACAAGTCCAATCCAATCCGAAACAAAATTTGATTACAATGCGGTTCAAAATGTCAACAAGTTATGACACTAATCCAGAAGATAGCAATTCAATACTTGGCCTATACAGATATATTCTATATTCTATTTGTGGAGTGGACGATAGCAAATTATTAGCTATATAGAATAATCAATTAATAAAGAAGTAGCTGATCAGAGTTAAATATTGGTAATCCAAGAGAGGATATAAACGTAAAGAACCCTAAAGTTTAACACAAACATGTCAACAACATCCATCCTATTTTTCGTTAATTTCCGATAAAAGGGCTTGAGTTAATAACCTGCATTCGATCTTTACACTTTAACATCCATCTCCTCATTCGGCTGGATTGAAGTTCGAGGGTCTTCGATCTAGCTCTCCTTAGCGATGGCTAAGCAAGTGATCTTGCTCACTAGAGATGCCCTGCAATCCAAATGATGATGAAATTGCTGGATTTCTTTCTAATACAAATATCTAAAAATAAATGAATTGAAATTATAGTATATATAAAGCGTATTTTGGCAAGATATTAAAACATAAGACACGCTATCTTACATTTTGGCTAGATATTTAAACATGAGCGACGCTATGTTACGTTAAAGCTCACATGTTTATGGAAGGATTAGTGCATTAGCCTAAAACATTGAAATTTAAGAAAGAATGTTGATATTAAATATATTTTGAGGCTTACCAGTTCCACCACACGGATTTGATCTTTGGGCTTCTTGGTTGGAGAAGGGATTAACTTGTCTAGATATTCTAAGACATTGTACAAAAGCGTCTTGTTGATCGAAATTCCAATGAGAAAGCTCATGATAACAATAATAAGGATAGCTGCCCACAATGTCTTTGGGGCTATGACAATGTAGACTCCAGTCATAAACGCCAATAATGTGCTGTTTAATGCCAAGCGGAGCAACACCATACTTCGATCAATCAAAAACAATGACTTACTAGAATCGTAAACCATAGACCATATGAGACAAATCAATACCAACATTGAAAAAAATAAGGCTAGTGTATCTGATATTAGAAACACCAAAAAAGCTGCCTTAGTAGCCAAAAGTGCATCCCCAGTATCCTGATTAAATCCACCGGGGAGAGTAAATCCAGCAGTGAATGTAATGGTGGCTAATAAAGCCGCCACCACAAATAGGGAATTTCGCACGTCTAACAAATTTGTCTTACTTTGAAAGTACGTCGTTTTTATCCTTGGATCAAGACCAATTCTTTTGCACATCCGATCCTGTAATGATTCATAAGGGATGTTCATATTTACAACAATGTACGAAAAACAAATTAAAATTGCTTTCCTAGACCAATTGTTTTATTAACCATTCAATTTACGTTGTTTTGAGATAAATTTCCGAGTAGCAAAATAATTTTATAATAAATAAAACTTAATTTTAAAAAGATATGCAAAAAATATCATACCCAAGCTTGGTTGTTGTCGCATTCTTGAGCCAATAGATCTATGGCAGATATATCTTCATCATCCTTGATGTCATATATTATCTTATCACTGCTGAGTAAAGTTTCTGTTAAGAACAAGTCTCTATTTCGTATTGCTTAAAGCTTTGTGTAAAGGTGTTACACCTTGAGAATCTTGAAGATTGATTAGATCTTTCATGTGTGTAATCTTGAGAAATTCTTCATACCCCGTTAAATTAGGTAATCGTATGTGATGCAAAGGTGAGTCCTTGTGTTCAATACAAAGATCTCGAAACGCTCCTGGATTATGGTTGATGAAGGCACAAAGAGCTAAGACATGACCTTTTTCACATGCTTTGGTCCAAACCAAGGGTGCACTATTAAACACAGACGGAGTAATTAATAAAAAGCGGTTGGGGGAGTAATTAGTAATGTAATTAGCAATCTATCTCTAGTATAATCTTCCATGATAAAAGGTACAATAACTATAATAATTAAAAATTGGGCCTTACATTAGACAAGATTTTATCCAAGTTTTAGATACCACCCCTTTATAAGATTTTAACCAATTAAACTAGTTGATCATCTATAAATCTTACGTTGTTTGATGTTATAGAATTAGAATACAATATTTTATAAGAATTAATACTTTATATAATTAATTCTTATAAAATATTTGTGAATATTTTATATAATGTACTACATTTATGCTTTTAAAATTAGTACTAAAAAAAATACCAATGAGAGGTCAAATAATATGACATACCTTTCAAATTTGGAGCTAGATGTAATATATTTCGGCCATCAGAGGGATCCTTGAGATATTTGGACCTGCTTTCCTTATTCAATCTTGACAATATATATTCGGCAACTTTAGGGCAATTATTTTGTATTGCTAGAAACAAAATACTGTGCTCTGGCTTGTAATGATCTAGTAGCTTATCAATATGATCAACCCCATATAATGACAAGTTCTTCACGTTGGTTGCGTATTGCCAAGTGCAGAGGGCCTTCATTATGTTTATTAAGTGAGAACCATGGAAACTGTTCAATATCAAATGATGCAAAAAGAGGACATTTTTCTTTGTAAGCTTCTACAAGGAGTCGTACAATTTCAATTGTTGCTTGATGGGTGGTAGTTGCAGCAACATGAAAAACATTTTTTCGGTCATTGTAATCCAAAACATCAATAAGTTTGACAAATAGAAATTTCCACTTGCTCTTCAGTATGAATCTAAATAACCATTCTTTGTCACTTTTTATCCAACTGTGAATTATTGTTGATCCTTCTTTATCAACTCCTTTGATTAATTCTGGATGTCCTTCAAGTAGTTGTATGCAAAAGTTTTCTGCTTATACAGAAAAATTGTTAATCTTAATATTGGCCACTTTTAATTCAACAATAAGTTTCATAATATAGAGCAGCCTAATTTTGTTTTTTTTTTCCCTTATACTAATTATCTTTTTATTATAAGTTGACATGTTTCTATCATTGCATTTTTCGATGTCTAAAAAAATTATTTTAATCTAAAAAATTACTAGAATAAACCTCATACAATATATAGATGCACGGTTGTTAAACTTTATTGACAACAAAATTATAAAACAAGTATAAAATGTAATGACTTGACACACCAATTATTAAAGAATATTAAGTATAATTTAAAAAAAAATTAACCACATATAATAATTGTAATAAATAACGTAACATTTTAGAAAGTTTAGTTTAGATTTTATGTAAACAAAATGTAATAATTTAGATACAATCCTTTATTAGACTAAGAATAAATTTTTTGAAAAAAAATTAATGTAACACTACAAGTGTCCTTCTTGGTTTCGCCTTCAATATATAATATGTATTGTAATACATTGAAACGTAACCACCAATTGGTTATTGGTGTAGTGGTGATTGGGACTACACTTGGTAGGGAGGACCCGTGTTCGATCCCCCGCAACAACAATTGGGAGAGGACTGAAACCTTAACACCTAGAACTGATCCCCGAATCCGGATTAGTCCAAAGGGTGAACCAAGTGGATCGGAACACCCAAAAAAATAAAATTATATTGAAACATAACCAACAAAGGAAAAAGTTCAAACTAGCAAACCTAACCAATATTGTGAAATGGAGAGAATAGTTCATAGTATAAAATTATTTTCTAATATCTATTTTAGTTCAAGATATTATTTTTTGGTTTACTGTTCTGAAAAAAAAATAAAAAAATTATATAAACGGGATAGATGTTTTGTTCAAGTCTACATAGACTTGTTTTAAATATTAGGAGAATATTGAAGTTACACCGTCGAAAACATGTTTTGGGTTATAGAGAGTATTATAAAGTTTTGAAATTATGGGAGGATAAAGAAAAAAATTTAAGAGATAACTATTATTTATTAACTTGATACATTAACAGAAAGGGAAAAAAAAAAAAAGATAAGTGGACTCACCCGGGCATAATGGTGCAAGATGCAAGACATTCAAATGTTGATCATTAGTAAGAAGTTGAGTCCAACCTTTATTATCGATTAGCTTGAATATCACTTCTGCAACTGTATGACATTCTTTCTCGATAGCCAAGAACAAAACATTCCTATCACATTCAATAACTACATTTTCGTCCACTGACAAGAAATACTTAGCCAAATCTTCATTCTTGTGGGCTATGGCCAATGACAAAGGTGTATCTCCGTAGTTGTTCTTCACTAACCATGGACATTGAAGGAGATCTTGTGAAAGGTTCGCTTTCGAAAAGCTCGATATTTCATTTTTGTAAATATCTATGAGCAATTCTGCTATATTCTTAGTATTTTCTTCACAAGGGGCATATGCAGCCAGATTGTGCAATGGGTTATCACCATATTTGTTCCTTGCAATTGTCAAGAATACAATAACTGTATTTGCATCTTCTGGCATAATATCACTACTTTTTAGAAGAGTTTTGAATGGCCACAATGCACCATCGGATGCCCACATATTTAATGCTGAATTATTATCACATTTGATTTTTTGAAAAATCAAATCTGGCTCTCTGCGAAGTATATGCTGAAATATTTCTTCTGAAACCTCTGTAATTACAAAAATATTTTCCAAGATTATGTTAATATATACTACAAATATACGTACTATCGCAACAATTATATAATGAAAATCATAATCAAACAACATCTTGTGTAATTCATCTCGATGAGTAATTTCACAGTATAATTTTTTATACTTCCTTGATTTTTTAGTCAGTCCATTTTAACTTGATGGCATGTGTTCAAGCGTGTTGCAGAATTACGCAAGATATTTATTAAGGGTAAGATTGAACACATGCTAGTAAGTTAATTTTTACCCTTAACAAAGATAAGATTTAAAGCTCATGGCCCACTTAATTACACTCCTAACAATCTCTCAGCCCATCTAAAACTCATTTTAAGTGTCTAATCATGTGAGACCTACTTTTCTTATCAACAAAAAGTATATACAAAAGTGTGTGTTATTACTTACTAGTACCCCCTCCATCACACAATATAAAGTCTATTTGGGTTTATTCACGAGAATTAAGGAGATTGTAGATTCCTTAAAACTAATGATTGAAAGTATATATGTGCATGTAGAGTTAGAGAGAGATAGGGGGAGGAAAAAAAATAGTTGGAAATTATTGAAGAGATAGAGAGATATAGGGGGAGGAAAAAAAATAGTTGGAAATTATTGAAGAGATAGAGAGAGAAAATGTTGAAAATCGATATCAAAAAACATTATTAGGACAAAAAGAAAAAGAAAAAAGATGACAACTCATCAAAGAAGGCAATATTCTTAAAAAGTACGACCTTTAAATGAATAGAAATAGGCTTTGTATTTTGGTTCATCCAAAAAAGAATATAGATTTTGTATTTTGTGACGGAAGGGATACGGTATTAAATGGAGAAAGTATACATTAAATTTCAGATCCATAACATAAAAGAAAGACTTTTTATTTTATTTTTTAAGAAATGAAAGAAAGATTACAAAAAATCTTGCATGGATGAACCCGAGATTTATACACACGCAACTGACGTTATATAGAATATAGTGACCCATAATTTTAACATAATAACCTTATTTTTAACATAGTAACCTTTATTAAAACTTGTGTGACATTAAATATTATTGTGAACCAAGTGACCCTAATTTTAACATAGTAACCTTTAATATTTATATTGACCAGTATATAAAAATTTCATTACAAAAAAAAATATAAGCTCTTATAGCCTTCATAATATTACAATGATTTTTATTTTAACATAATAACCTTTATTTTAATATAGTGACTTTTTTTTTTTAATTTTTCATTGCATCTACAAACATGAACACACACATAAAAAGGAACGGGGAATCCAAAAGCTACAATTGTACACAAAAGGAGTTAGAAAAGGGATTGGAATAGGGGAAAGAGTACAAAATTATGTTAAAAATGCCATGATAAGTGGACAAATAAAACACTTATCAAATTAGATTCAAACAATATAAAGTTTTCAAATATGAAATTTTCATTATTTTTTAAGTTACGAAAATAAAGATATTTAATGGTAATTTAATAAACAAAAATAAAGAAAATTGGATCTATCTCATTATTCTCATATGATTTTGTCTTCTAATCTATTCAGAAGCAAGCTAATATAAGTTAAATTAAACATAGCCATGGTATTGAAGAATGGGAAAGGAAATACTTTGTACGAAATATATGATTAGCATACAAGTACTTGGTAATTATATAAGTACTTCCTTTGTCCCTATTCTTTTGACCCCATTGTAAATAATTTGTTCAAACTTTAAAAAGTTTGACTATAAACTTCTGTTAACTTATACAAAGTAAGAGATAATATAGTCATATGGGGTGTTATTGGATTCGTCTCATTGTATATTTGTTAATATCAAGTTTTTATAATTTTTAGTCGTAAAGAAATGGAGATATATAAGGTGTAAGACATGTCTTGAATATCGTCAAAAGTCAAATGGGACTTGCCAAAAAAAATATAGGACAAGGGGAGTATAATTTACCATGCTTTATTGGGTTACAAACTTAAATTTATTTTGCTTTATACTTAAACATTATATGCAAGTTACAACATCTTTAAAAATAAATAAATAAAATAAAATAAAATAAAAACATTACTAGCAATAATTAAAAATAAAATGGGACAAGCTAAGAAGTTTACCTGAGGCTTCTAAATGATGCAGGGAGTGAAATGGAGTCATACCATCTTCAAATCCGCTACAACTAACAGAATGGGGTGATCTCAAAATCTACAAAGCTAATCTGCTCATCTTTTTTTCTATGGCTGCACATACTAAGGATCCGCCGAGATCTTTACGCAAATTGGAAATCAACTCCGTATCTATTTTAAATATTTCCAACGCACATTCTTCGTGTTTATTAGCAACAGCCATCATACAAGGGTTTCCAAATTTGGTGCCCTGGATTGACCAGGGTCGTTTCGACAGATGAGATGGTAATGTTGGTAAACATCGATACACATCTAGAAACATCTTTAATATCTCTACATTACCAATGGAGGCTGCTATATGAAGAGGGTTCCACTCGATTATATCGTTTCCTGGTTGAACGAGGAGTTGCTGCTTGGCTTCGAGAGGTAATATCTCCATGACTTCTCTTATAAACTCCTCTTTGTTTTCGAGTGCTGCCATGTGGAAGATATTGCCGTGATGAGCTTTTCTAGAGCGGTCTTCTGCCCGGGGGAAGAGAGTCAAGTAGTATTCGATGGCTTTATTGGATTCAACGCATTTTTTAAGGTACTCTACGTCTCCATTCACTGCTGCATTTCTAAGCTCATCATCCATTTTTGAAGATATCATGATTGGAATTTTGAGTTTGAGAGAATTTTAATTTGATTATGAAGGTATTTTGTTGAGTTATGATTGATGTAGTATAGCACTTTCTTCCACGTTGTCATCGTCCATTTATATAATGTCCATGTATTAATTTTTTTTAAAATTGGACCACTATTATAATAATTTTATTCTTGTGTCTTGTACTAAAATTCATCATGTTTAATTGTATTCACACTAATTAAAAAAGAATTATTGATTTGTAATTTATTTATTTTTTTTTTGATGAAAATGATGTGTAACTTTATTCTTAACATTAGAGACACGCGTAATGCGTGCGTGTGCAATATAAGTAATCTATCAAGCTTAATTCTCTGTTTATTATTCCACAATATTATCTTCTTAATTATTCTAAGAAAAAATATTAGTGATTTTAAATAATAATTATTCGTTTGGTTTGGTTCATATCAATTTCTTTTACTTGTCAACACGTTCATTTGGTTTGGGTTCATTTTGGCTGGTAGTTTTACTTATGCGCAATCCCTCTCAAGCCATTAGTTTAAGTTGATGACGGAAAATGAAATGTTAATACTCGTAGTTTGAAATTAATCAGCAGGATCAACAATTATTAATCAATAACAAATAAATCTTCTACTCACATGAGATCATTTATACTTCTTATATAATATACAGATAAATGGATCACCCTGTTTGATCACTAATAATCTATTAAAGTTAATTCGATCCAAATAATCCAATGACAAGTTTGCTACGTGCTGATTGATATAAGCAAACAGCTTGTACCTACTTATTACTTCGTATTATTATAATCTGATTAGACAACTTGTATTTAATTATTTAGTGCATTTATTCGACTAAAATCTTCTTAAGTAGCATAGTCAATTTTAAGGTGTTCCCTGTCTCGCCTCTCCTCTCCTCTTTTCTCCTCCTCTCTTTTCTCTAAAATCTTGATTATTTAGGTCGGAAATAGTCTAATCTCTTCAGAAATTAGACTACTTTCAATCCTTTTTCCTTAATTTTCTTTAGTTTTGCAATTTAGGTTTCAATAAATTTACACGAGTAGTGTAGATTTTCGTCCGTCTCCCTATGGTGGAGTGTCTCCCTATGGTGGAGTCGTTAGTTTTTGTTAGGTTAGTTGTTTGTTTATGTTTAGAGTTTGTTTGTGTGTTGGGTTTATCAAAAAGGTAATTATCATTTGCCCTATTGTCAGTTCGTTGGTAAAAATATGTTTGGGATCGCAACGGTTGTCATGTTTTCAAATGCGTTCAAGCGAATCAGATGAAAATCATCCTTACGGCTACAAAAAGGTTGTATATTCCAGCGATGTGTGCGAGAGATGTACAACAGTGCAAGATCTTTTCAACGATCGTAGCTTTGACAAAGAAAACCCTAATTGATTCAATTTTATGTATTTGTTAATTTAGATTTTATTTGTAGATGTCAGATGGCTTTTTATTAATGAATTAATTTATTTAAAAAAAAAAGTGTCCCCTTTCTAAAATTTAGATTCACTTGGGTTCGTTTGTACGTATGGTCTCTAATATGTAGGTAACTTTGATAAAAAAAAAAATATATATATATATATATATATTGACTATATGTAAGTTAAAATTATTATAAGTTAAAATTTGAGTATATTAAGGTTTTAATTTATTTTCTTTCACACAAATCATACTTGTACAATACAACCAAAAATATTACTTCCTCCGTCCCTTTATTAGAAGCCTATTTCTAATATTTATTACTCACATAACAAAGAGAAATAGACTTCTAATAAAGGGACGGAGGGAGTACATTACCACATGAATAATTAATGAGTTGAAATTAGATTTCACCCTCATCAAAATGTACTGCTAACAAAAATATTAATGATTAGTTATACAGGAAACAAATCAAAGAGAAAAAAAAGGTTTCAAATTGGTCTAATTAACCATTAAATGAGAAACGATTTCATAATCTCTTGAAATTAGAAGAGAAACTCTAACCACTTGAGATAACCCTCATTCTAGTACATTGAAACAACATTTTAGTATATAACCAGATTATTAGTTGTACATATTACAAAAACACGGTTTTAACAACCGGTAGTTTATATTATACGTAGTACTAATTTATTGCAAAATGAATCTCGCACATATATG